AAATCTATTTGTTTTTAGTTGGGACGATTCACGAATCCCATCCACTCACTTCAAAACTAATTAAAGGATGCTGCAGCATCACTATACCTTTTGATTTCAAGTGGTACTATTTGTTAGTTTCGCCATACATTTTGGCTCTCCTTGATAACTCCATTCACAATGGTACTTATATGACTGCACCAGCTAATCTCTTAACTACAACTTTAAATTCATCATTGTAATTGTACAATTATGTCATTGCTTAGCGTTTCCTCTTCACTTCTTGATACCTAACGTTTTCCTTTTAGTTTGTCTTGATAAGTACATCCGAACTCTAAAATTGGATCCTATTTGTTCTTCTGATGTACCTGATCTCCAGGAGTGTCTATTTTCATGCAGCAGCGATTCCTTCACAAGCGGGGCTGAAGAGATTGACGAAAAGGCCAATTTTGCTCAGCTACATCGCCTGCTTTCAGTCAGTACAGAGGGCCTTCTCGCCCCTGAGCAATGTCCTAGCTCATCGCAACTAATCGTCTGTTTGCTGCCTTCGAAAAATAGCCCCACCGAACTTCAGACAGATCATAATGCTCCTCGTACACCGCTCACCACATCACTTCTCCTTCATAAGGTCACATTGATCGCCAGTTTCTTTGCTTTGCTTACCAAACAGTCTGACTCATCGTGGCACCGAGATAGGCTTAAAGGGTCCCTTGCAGATCCAGAGGAAATAAAGCCGTCACTTAACGCTATTGACCATTCTGCTATCGAGCATTCATCAGATGCAGAGGCTAAATGTGATAAAAGTCAGATTGGATGTGTCCTACCTTGCCATTCTGAGGGTTTTGATTATTTTGCTTCCTCTACATCCCACAAACAGACATCTGTGAATATGATGGCGCGAGATAGTGGTAATTAAGAACTTTCTAGTTTCCTAAGTTTTGTATAAAATTTAATTATACTTTGGCTATAATGCATTTATCCTCACCACAATATCCAGCATACCTTGCCTGCATTTGTATTTGAATATTCATTTTTGAGTAACATCTGAGTTACTTTGTTGAATTCTCTGATTTTCACATGTTTGCCTTTGAGTCAAGCTCTATTTAGGAGTGGGTTACCACTCTTATTATGCTTGTTCTTTAATA